GGTTCGCACCGCAGGGTGCGCAGGTTGACCAGGCAGGCGGTCTGGGTGCTGCTGAAGTCTGGCACGGTCACCAGAAGGACTTCCTGTCCATCAGAACCTGGCAGGGAGGAGACCAAAACTTACAGTACATAGTGACAAAACTGATCATTTTCGACCCAATTCCTTCACCATTTTTTTACCCTCAGATAAGAAATTAATCAATTAATCGCACAACGCATTAAAATAAGCTGCAATATTTTCTGAAGGGGCATTCTGTCTCGAGACATCACAATCCATGTTTTTATGGTTTGGTTTGTGTGATGTCTATTTTCTTTTATTATTATTATTGTTTGTTTGTTGTGTATTACATTGAATATTTAAAATATTAATATTAAGGTTTTTTCTCTTTCAGTGTATTAGAGGGATAGCTTACATTCTTAGGCCATTATCAATATTATACTTGAAAATGATCTCAAAACTTTCACATTTATCGCAATAACCACTGAGACAATTTATCGTCCAACAAAACTTATCATGACAGACATACCCTCAGCATTTCCCAGTGTTCTCTGTTCTTTTTAGTCCATTTTTCAAGAATAACTACAATTACGGTAGATATAGCTATGGCTATGTACAGAGCATGCAAAGAAATAAAGAAAAGGAATCTGAAAGGACAAAAACTGAATAAACTGGCAAACAGATCTTTTTTCTAGAAATGGAAATACTTCAAATTAAATCCTTCCTGGAAGTGGAGGAACCTTTCATCTGTCACTGACCTTGGATGAGCTTAGACTCAAACACTGGAGCGTTGGCACTGAAGTACACATGGGGACATTCCTCCAAGATAAACGGGTCTCTTTGATAAAACGGGTAGCAACCTGAAACAAAAACACTGCTGTCATCACCCAGGTATGTGTGTGTAGACACTTCTTCCCCTCCACCATTCAACCAACCGAGCGTATCAGGAGCCGTGGGGGCCAGGTGCCGGAGCCGCAGTGTCTCCTCTAGTATCTCCAGGTGGCTGTCCAGGCTGCTGTACTTCTTGATGTCACACACGTTCTGACCCGATGTGCCTAAAAATCTTCGCAGAGAGAAACCGGACCAGATCTGAACAACCACTTCAGATGGGACAGAGTGTGTGTGTGTTCGCCTGGGACACCGCCTACCTGACTCCGTCGATGCTGGCTCCATATGGATTGGAAACCAGCTGCAGGGTGGGGAACACGGAGGACAAAGGGAACATGCATCTGTGGAGGGGTTGCTGTGGGAGGGTGTAGTTGGTGGGGTCGCACTGCCCTGGCATCACGTCCACTGGAACGGAGGCCTTACGACGGAGCAAGAGGAGGCAACGCGACGTCAGTAACATTTTTTTTTTCTTTTCCATCTGCTCTGTGCCTCAGAAACTACGGAGCCCACTACGGGGCAACAGGTGACATTTTTTCTTTTACTTTACCTCAAAATAGTGCAACTAGTCGTCAGATCAAGGTTTTTTTTTCCCATGTTGAAATTTTATGTTTATTCCTCGTTTGCGAGTTATTTAAAGTTTTAAATCTTTCTCTGTAGGACAAACACACCACACACATAAAATGCTGGAGCAACACAGAGTCCAATCCCTACTCTAAAACATCAACTTTTTCCAAGGAGGAATGGAAAAGAAAAGGCAAATACATCCAAACTATTTGGACTGTTTTGGGGTTTTTGTTAAGAGTGAGTCTCGCCATCACAGTTTTGGTTGTGTCTGCTAGTCTGAATGGTTAATAAAGGGCTGTTTTCATGTACGGTCGCATCTCCACTGAAAGATATTACAAACAAAAATGAACACGCAGTTAATAGATACATTTTTAACAAGTCTTCTGCACCAAAGAGTTAATAATGTGTAAATACTCTGTACAGTCACATATACTAGAGTAAAAATAAAAACACTCCTGATTGCAGAGTGTGAAGTTTCCTATCAGAACAGATTAAACAGTTGCGGTGTCCAATACTGACGATTAATAAACTCCTCCAAGTCAACTGAAGCTTTTCCTTATCACTTTCTCTTTATTATTAACAACATGCCACACTCTGAATGGTTTTTTTTACAATAGTACTTATGCAATCTTGCCAAATACAGACACCCTCACTTCCTCCAGCAGAAACACAACAGAAAAGCGATTATTAACGCTCCACATCTCACCACCAGCTGAAGCAGGAGCTCATCAAGCAGGCGGATGGCTTCCACACTGCCGGCCTGAGTCTTCTTAGTGAGATACTTGGCCTGAATGACATACAGATTTTCAATATCTGACATGTTGAGCCGTTTACAAGATAAATATGTCTAAGAGTTGCTCTGTTTATTGAATTTTTAAGCTTGTCACCTTTGTCGATGCATCTTTGTCCTGGGTGCTTTGGCTCAGCAGGTTCCCGGCCAGCAGGACCCTGGAAATGGTCGCCGCCCCGCTCTGCTCCCCCGCGTCACCGAGCTGACCGGTTACCATGTCGACCAGCAGCTGCAGACCCAGCATGCTGTCGGCCTTGCTGCTGCCCAGGCCGAGCCCTGAGGCCAGGAGCACGAACCTGAGCAGACGGATCGGTCAGAGGCGGGCCACGAACGCAGACGGACGTGGGGTCATCACGTGATTTTGGCTTACTTGTCACAGCCGAGTGTAGGTCTGGGCGTCTGCGAAGGGAGGTCAGCCGTGCAGAAGTCCTCGACGGTGAACTTGCCGTCGTTCTTCTCGGCTCCAAAGATGGCGATTACGCTACCTGGGGAGTGGGAGGAAGACGATAAATGAATTTGAAGACGTGTGGGAGAGAGCGGAGGTGATGTGCAGTGATAAACTGACCGGTGACACACTTGTCTCTGTCAATTTTGCCCTCTAGTTTAATCCTCTGCAGCTCATCCTCCAGAATCAGCTCATCCGCTTCAGTGATGTATTTGTTTCGTGCAGGCTGAGGCAGGAGGTTGTGCTGAAGAAAAATAAATACAGTCGTGTTCAATCAATTGGATGAAACGGTCCAATAAGTCTCGTTTGTCAGATTAAAAGTACCTTTCAAAAATAACAACCTTAGATCAGATATAAAACATACTTTTCATTAAAGCCACATTTCGGTTTTTAAAAATACTCTTTTTTTTTAATCTAACTACATAATATTAAAATTTTACATGTCATGTTTTCATTAACTGTTGTGGAAAATCACCATAATTAACAGAAATAAAGGCTTTCAAACATCCATCTCTACGTGTTCCACTTTCTGATAAAGTTTCCAAAATAAATGGGATATTCAGTAATATTATAATTTAGTGAATGGGTTTGTAAATAGTAGAGCGACCATGAAGTACCTTGCAAAAATAATAACACCCTTTAAATAGGAATGTGTCTTCTTGATTTGGGTAACTTATAAATTTGATCTAAATCTTTCCATCGCAGCTCTGACTACGATCCAAAGTTTGCATCGAGTTCTAGTTTGCATCAATTTGTTCAGCTCAGAACAAATCATATTCATGCTTTGGAACGGCCTATTCAAAGGCCAGGCTTAAATCTATCAGAACCTCTGTGGAAAAGGTTAAAAACATATTGCTGTTCAAAAGCAATTTCCATCAAATCTGAGACAGTTTGGAATCTAAAATATGTAAAAATGTTACGAAATATTAAGGACTACCAGAAAAGATTTAGATCTTCAATCGCACCTCGATGGGGATTATTCATGAAAAACTAATTAAATACAACCACTTTATGATCACATGCTGCTATGCATTTCTTGCTTTCTGCAACATTCAGTAAGGTTGGCCAACCTCCTCGCTGATCTCCTTCAGAATAGATGGCTGCAGGTCCATACGCTTGAACAGGGTCCCTACAATGCAACACTGCTCCCCGGTCTCCAGGTCACACAGCTTCCTGATGCGCACATCCGGACCTGACGAGACAAAGTTTTAAAACAGCACACATCAGGGTAAGGTCGGTATGTTCACAGTGAGTCAATTTACTCTTACCCCACTTGTGTTTGGCTCTCTCTGACAGCAGGGGTCTCATCTCCATGAGTCGTGCCGCATATATGTGAGCGTACTGCCTGTTGAAGCTCCGCTCCCCGACTCGGTAGCGCTCGTTGCGGGGGCTGTAGTCCAGCGAGGTCCTCTCAAACACCGGGCCCTGGTCCTCCGAGGCCGGGCGGCAGAGCAGAGAGGAGCCCTCCCTCTGCGCACTCAGGTCGGAGAACATGACGGTCCTGGAAACGTGCTAGTTGTTATTATCGCCTAAACTGCTGCTACTCTTCTGTCCACCGAGATACTCAACACGCAGTGAATGCAATCGCTGCATAACATCACTGTTTTAATACAATGTGGCGACTTTACCTGGTAAAACAAAAATAAATGGTTCTGGGGCTGGCTTTTCCGTCCTCAATGTGGTATTTTGATGTATTTTCCGATTTTTCTCCAGGCGAACAAAAAGACAATTCCCGCAAAATTACACTGTCTCGCGAGATGTCTCTGTATTCTCGCGAGGAATTGTGGACCGCGCATCCAACGCTGCAGACACAGACCATGATGAGGGATACAACTGTTCTCTGACAAACTCTCTTCTTGTTCTTCTTTTTTTATTATTATGCAAACGATTTAAATATTAACCGTCTTACGAAAGTATATATATCCAATAACTGTAACTTATTAAATTTATTTTTATAAACTGAATAAACTCTGATAAAACTCTAATCCATAAATAAATGTACAGATTATATGTTCAACCATTTTCACATCTATTTAAGACGTAAATGAAAATGTGTCGCGTATTACACTGCACAGTAAATTCACAAAGCAGAATATTCAAAAGTCTGGGAAAATTATATTCTTTTCAAAAATTAATTCGAAACCAGTTTTATTTTTGTTGCCTCGCTTCCGCTTGACTTAGTGATCTATGATAGTTTTTTTCTGTTTTCATACTGTTAAAAAATGAATGAAAAAAACAAACATAATATAATGTCGCTCACAGAGATGACGTCACGACGCGAACTCTCTCTCTCTGTCGCACGTTGTTGAGGTCACAATAGCGTCGCCATTTTCGCTGCTCTTTGTGCGCCCCTGTCTGCTCAGTCCCTCTCGCTTTCCTTACGGTTTTCGTCGACTTTTTAATTCACATTTGTTGACAAAACATGCAAGGCTACAGAGGCCCCCAACAGAACCACGGCCCCAACCGCCCGGGGAACCACCTCAAAGGCGACGGGCCCAACAGCAACGGACAGCAGCCGGAGTCGAGCGAGCAAACCAGCCCCAACGCGGGCTTGACGCTGGACCCGCAGAGCTTCAGGAAGCCCGGGGAGAAAACCTTCACCCAGCGGAGCAGGCTGTTCGTGGGGAACCTGCCCACCGGAGTCACCGAAGAGGAGCTGGTCAAGCTATTCGCGAAGTACGGGAACGCCAGCGAGATCTTCGTCAACAAGGACCGGGGTTTCGGGTTCATCCGCCTGGAGACCAGGATCATCGCGGAGATCGCCAGAGCGGAGCTGGATGACTTCGTGTTCAAAGGCAGACCCATCCGGGTGAGGTTCGCCACACACGGCGCCGCACTGTCCGTGAAGAACCTCCCAGAGTTTGTGTCCAACGAGCTCCTGGAGGAGGCCTTCTCCGTCTTCGGCCAGATAGAGAGGGCTCTGGTGATCGTGGACGACCGGGGCAGGCCCACGGGGAAAGGCATCGTGGAGTTCACCGCCAAGCCGGCTGCTAGGAAAGCTCTGGATAAATGCAACGATAGCGCCTACCTCCTCACAGCGTTCCCCCGGCCCGTCACCGTGGAGCCCATGGAGCAGTTCGACGAGGACGAGGGTCTGCCGGAGAAGCTGATCAACAGGAACCAGCAGTACCACAAGGAGCGCGAGCAGCCCCCCCGGTTCGCCCAGCCCGGCTCCTTCGAGTACGAGTACGCCATGCGCTGGAAGGCCCTGATGGAGATGGAGAAGCAGCAGTACGAGATGGTCGACCGAAACATGAAGGAGGCGCAGGAGAAGCTGGAGGCTGAGATGGAGGCGGCCAGACACGAGCACCAGGTGATGCTGATGAGGCAGGACCTGCTGAGGAGACAGGAGGAGCTGCGGAGGATGGAGGAGCTCCACAGCCAGGAGGTGCAGAAGAGGAAGCAGGCCGAGCTGAGGCAGGAGGAGGAGCGCCGGAGGAGAGAAGAGGAGATGAGGCTGCGCAACGAGGAGATGATAAAGAGGCAGCAGGAGGGCTTCAGGGGCGGCTTCCCCGAGAACAGAGAGCAGGAGATGAGGATGCACATGGGGGGCCACGGCATGTCCATGAACAGAAATTCCCTGGGTGGGAACTCGGGTCCCGCCGGCGCTGCTGGCATGGCCGCGGAGGGCGCTCCTATGATGGCGGGCTCAGGTAGCGGCAGCCTGCCCGCAGGGGGCCAGGGCGGCTTCCCCAGAGGGCTCCCCGGCCCCGGAGACTATAACAAGCAGCGCAGATTTTGAATCACATGTCTGTCTTTTTTTTTTCTTCCCCCTCCTCATTTTTCAGCTCACTGTATGTTAAAGTTTAAGGTAGTGGATGTTACCCTTGAACTTTTTAAAAGAAAACAGTTTTATTTTGTACTTTTTCCTGTGTTTATTGAGTCGTTTCAGTACTAATGCATTTTTTTCCAAATGAGCCATGCACATGTGTACGTTATTTCAGATTTTTTTTTTTGTAGGGTAGATAATGTTTTTGGTCCTGAATATGTTACATTTTCTGTAATAAATTCATAATTCCTTAAAAAAAAAGAAAAAAGAAAGTCTTTCATTCAGGATAGAAAAGCTTCACAGCAATGGTGGCTAATATTATTCAGCACACACCGACAACCTCACTTTTAATAACTGCACTTGTTAGGATGTTCCTGTCTGCTACAGATTTACAGTCGTCCCTGCAAATCTATGCCAACTCTTAAACGTCTTTTCTTGCAGTTGCAGAAGATACATTAAAATTGTCAGAATGTCCCCAGGTGAATCAGCGTATTGGACACTACAAAACGTCAAAAGCAGACGGCTTCTTTTCCTATTTACATTTTGTAAAAAGGGCACAAACACTGAAGAGACGCTGCTGCTTCTTGACTGGAGATTGTCAAAATCGCAGACAGGAGAGAAAAAATGTACTGCTAATTATATTATGCCACATAGGTTTGAATCCAAGGGAAATTTTAATTTGAATAAACTGATCATCCACATTCATGCATCAAAGAGGATGTCCTTTCAGTTTATCTGATTTGTTATTAAATGCAGAAATGTGCACAAAAGCTGTTTGGCTGATGAGTTTATTCACAAATGAATACTGGATGCATCGAATCAACAGGAGGAAAAAAAATTGATTTTTTAAATTTTTCACCTGCCTATGAAGTAAAAATTGACTGTCAGCAAGAGAGTCTTGAAATTTAATGGTGCCCTGGGTTCAATGACAATATTGCAAAAATAATTTGGGAAAAAAAATTCTTCTAATTTACCAGACAAGCAACAATTTCCTCAACTTCTGTTAAAATATACATATTGATGATTACACTTATGGGTAACACATTATTTTAGAGTTTAAAAGTTGCCTTAAAAGTGTGACCTTTTAAGACAACAAATATGTCAATATTGATACATAAATGTAAGACAAAATGTGGATTAAACAACTAATTTTAGCAGCAAATTTAAGGTAAAAAAAATAACTCATTGGACAGAATGGTTTGCTTTGAAGATTGTACCTGTAAGTTTCCTGTGAATGTGTTGGATCCTTCTTTCAGCCAGCTGATGAACAGGGTGCAGCAAAAGAAGAGGAAGGGATTGGGATGCATTATTATTTGCCTTGAAATGAAAGAATGGCATGAAAAAAAATCCTCCTGCTCTTTTGAAATGTAACTTTTTAAAACCTCAGCTCACCCTGACACTGTGAGCGTGGCCATGCCTAATGTCACTCTGGTCGCCACGAGCTGCAGCGCAAGTTCAAGTTGCTAGCAGAGTTAAAAGCTAAAAGGGCCTCATCTAAACAAAATGAGAAGCACAAACTACATATGGTGTGATTTTAATTAGAGCTGAACTATTTAGCAAATCACTTTTTGCATAAATCTAAAGGACAGCTCGGAAGCAATATGTCGGAGGGTCTTTTTCTTTCTCCGTTTGATATAAAGTGTGACAAAACTCAGAGTGTGTTCATACTGCACTTGTTGAGCAGTCAGATGGACTCACTGCTCTGGATGTTCTCTTCTGGCATTTAATCATCAAGATGATGAAGACAAGAGTGAAGGAAACCGTAGCTTCTTCCCAGTTCGCACCATCGTCACAACACTAACTAACACTAACATGGCATGTTTGGGTTTTCCTAACATCACTTTCTGACGCAGATATTCATTACAGACGTTTATTCATATTTTTTGTTGTTGTTTTCATGTTTTAACTTGTGTGCGTTTGCATGACTCCAATTTTGTCTGTCACTCTTGTATTTTCGTTTAAATCTCATTAAGCAAATGAATTTTCATTTTCAAGAAAAATCTGTTCCAACATTTGCTGCGAGTGCACCTGAATTTTCCCACAATAAAGAACAATAAAGGATATTTCTATTTTCTATTCAGCTCCTTTCTGGCTTTTTTTTTTTTTTTGCATAAAATAAACAAGTTTAATGCAGATGTACAATACAGACAGGTAATAAAACTGAAAGGAAGGAAACGGCTCCTGTTTTTGTTAATCAGCTTATTGTCTTAATCAAGGTTTTCAGTCTCCATGAATGCAAAAGGAAATTTATTTGTGTGAAAATAAATTCATATGTAGGCGACACCTCGGGTTGATTTGAATTGTTACTGGCAAATTTATCCTGAAACTGGAAATGAGCACAAGCAAAAAGAAGTTATTGTAATAAGATAAGTGTTAATGAATAAGGAAACAGCAAAGATAGGAAACATTTTATACTTTGTAATAAGACACGAGAGAAAGTGCTGGAGGAGTTCAGGACGCCCCACTTGTTGGTGCACAGAGACAGAAGTGATGCAACAGCTCAGAAAGTTGAACATTCAGCAATAAATATGAAATCAGAGTAAAAACAATTCCTTTTTTATGTCACTTAGGGGTTAAAGATCAGAGGTTTTCATGTTCTATGCATCAAGTGGATGAGCTACTGATGATTCCCACCATAATAATCACAGGCTTATAATACACCATTGGCATAATTATTAGGCAAGTCTTATTTTTAGGGATCATTTATATTATTCACCAAATCCAGTGCTCTGTCATATAAAATACTAAGAAACATCAAACATAAATATTTAAGTATGTAACATGAGGTTTTGGCTTTCTTCTAGGGGAATATTTCTGTGTACGGGAAACTGCTCTAGTGCACAATTATACAAATGAAAAAACAGATATTAGTCCCATTTTATTTTAGATACTTCTGTTAAAGCTACAGTTATGAATAAATGCCTCAAAAGCTCTCAAAAAAACTTTTCTGACAAGAGAAAGTCAGTTATTAATGTGAGTCTTTCACTGATGGAGCCAAACTTAGATTTTTCTTCAAGTGCACCACAACCTTTTTTTTTTAACTATTCAGAGTTGAAATAGATACGTTAACTTTGTTATGCTTGAACCTTTAAGTATAAGCTATTTTCTTGGTGTATTATTTTTTATATAACTGGCTTCACAATGTATTCTCATTTGCACAAACAATTGTTTTGCCATTGTTTTATATTCTCCTTTCAGGCAAACAGACTTTATTGTAATCTTCTGCAGCGGATCCGTTTTTTTTTAACATCAGTAACTTTTCATTTATTTATTTATTTGTTCAAGGATTTTATCTGAAGCTTCCTAGATGAAACAACCTCATAATAAAACACTGCAAACATGTTTTAAATATTACAAACCTAATTAAATGAGGTCTGTGTCAAAGCACTTTGATGGAGTAAAACTGTTTTGCTTAACTGAGACATTTTTGAATGAGCCACACTTGATTGAAAAATAATTTAAAGACATGTGTTGTTGTTTATAATAATAATAATAAATCTAACAGCACAGTCTCCTAAAGAGGCAAATTAATTGTTTTTTCTGAGCTCCATAAAACGGATCAAATTACAGTAAGAGATAATTATAGCGTACCTTTATCACGGTCATAAAGTAGTTTTATATGTCGTTTCTGATGTTTTTATTTTTACATCTGATAGTGAAGATGGCGCTATCAAGCTGTTGTCAGAGTCCAAGGAGTCAGCTCGGCTTGTGATGCAGCCAGAGCAATGAGAGGGCTCCAACAATAAAAGCCGATAAGAGCGTGACAGTAAAGAGGGGAAAGTGTTATCTGAGCGTCGATCTGTGAGTTCAAAAACAATTCAGAGGAGCTTTTCTTATGACACTCTGAACCCTGACAGAGCAGAACCACGATTCCTCTGCAGCTGTGTGAGGCGTCTCCTCTCGCTTTCAAACACCCAAATCTCTGCTGAGAACTATGAAAATAGATCATGTTTAAATGCAGCAATGTGTTTTATTTATATCTGTCTGATATGTGGTATATTACACGTTTATATCGTGTACTTTTATTGTGTTACAGGAAGAAACGGATTGAGTCGTTGCTGCTTTTCAAGTGCAAAACAACACACACGTCCTCTAAGGCATCTCGCATGAAAAATATTCAAAACAGTATACAATTCATACTGTTTATTCTATCTATTTCATAATAAAAAGAAAAAAAAAGGCTTTTGGTAAGACTGCAACTTTCAAGATAAAAATAACACGTCTTTGAGTAGATATGTTGTTTTGTAATTGTTGCTTGTTATTCATTTTCATAGATCTCACAGAAACCAACTCAGGTTTTCTGTCATCTCTACTGCCACAAAGTGAAATTTCCACGGATTAAAAGGAAATTTATGCTCTAATGAATGAATTTCTGTCTGTTAATATTTGAAGTCAAAGCACGTTGACAGATTGCTCAGAACATTCAATGTAATCTCAGCGTATTTAGTGAACGTTTGCACGAATAGACGAAAACACATGACCATAGTCCAGCCAGAAGCATTCATTTATTCATAACAGACAAAACTTATTCATAGGTAAGAATTGATTTATTTATTTATTTGGTGGTTTAGTAAAACAAATAACGTAAATGTAGACAGTTATGAGCTAAACTTGATTTTAATTCAGTGTGACTTATTGTTCTATATATATATATATATATATATATATATATATATATATATATATATATATATATATATATATATATATATATATATATATATATATATATATATATATATATATATATATATATATATATATATATATATATATGGATCCATTGCACTTTTTCATTCAGCTAAAGTTATGTTGAACTTTTTATTTCTATTCTATTGCACTTCTAATTAACTCATAGCACAGCGATATGTTTTATCCATGATTTAAAATGTTTATAGCACAGTGAGGATTTGCTGAAACTCCCGGTGGAAATATGGGAAAAAGACCCTGAATAAATTTAATTTCCTCTCAGAAACATAATCTCAGTCTGAAACTGCGTTGTGGTTCTCTGGGACGAACAGCAATAATTAAATGAGCTCATTTTTTATTTTACTAATTGACAAATGTCTTCTGGGGCTGTATTTTGTTCTGTGGTGCAAAAGCCCTTTGAACTGCCTTGTTGCTGAAATGTGATATGCAAATAAATTTCATTGATTGATTGAATGTATACCTGCTCACATTTTCACTAAGCCCACATTTCTGTACTACATATTTTTAGTGGTGTGATGTAATATTCTGATCTGAAATGACACATTTTCAGCTGCTGTGGACAGAAAATTGTCATAATTAACAGGAATAAAGACATATGAGGTTCAGTTTGTGTGTAATTTATCTCTAAATTATATTTCACCTGGTGAACCGAGTTACTGAAATAAACCAACTTCTCAATAACATTGTATTTGTTGTCATGAAGACAAGAAAACACATGTTTGTTACATGCACCAAATGCAGTAACACTTTTAAATACTCTTTTATGATGACAATGTACAGTCATAAAAGAGTGGGGGAAAAACTATTTTAATAAATCTGAATCGAATTTTTTTTTTTTTGTAGTGTTGCCAGAGTGTGTCGACTAGAGAATAGCTAATGTAAAACATAATGTCTGGTAGCATTTCTAAAACAGCATTCATTTTAAATGTGAAATGAACAGTTTAGTTCATGAACACTCGGCTTTCTTTAAGAAAGCGTTAAAAAGCATTGAGATTACTCAGCTTTCTGACCAGAGATAGGCAAAAAAAATAGGAAGTTCTCAGATAGTGAAGAATTAGAACATGCTGACAGTCTGTTTTGTGTTTATTGCCGTTTTATCTGTTACTGTCCAGATTTATCAGCTTTATTAGCCTCCTTTTTGGCTTTGAAGTAGTGAGACCACAAATCTGAATGCCAGTCTGTATGTTTTTAAAAGAAGTCCGTTTATTTAGAATTTGGAAAACCGCAACACTTATTTCTTGATACTGTGTAAATGTTTGAAGGCATATGATTGAAATCCTCATTTAACACAAAAAGTGATATGTTGATCTTTTTTCCAACCAATTTGACTGTTCACCTTAGATAGTCTTTACCTACATAATTAGAATAAAGTATCTTTCATTAGATCATCGACACAAATGCAAAAAAAATGGATGAAATGTGTTTTTGTTTTTTTTTTTAAATAATGATAGATAAACAGGATTAATTTTACAATTGTAATTTTAGTTTATTTTTGAATTGATTGATTCTTTTTGACACTATAAAAATTAAAACACAGGAAAAACATGAATCAGAATCTCGGCTCCAGATAGATGATAACCAGAATACTCAACAGCAAGCGACAAGGCAGAGAACATCCCACTATCTGCCTTGATCCCCCCTCGTCTCCTCAGCATCTGCGTTTATTACAAAACGTCTACCAGCACCTTCGCCCTGATCATGTAAATGTTCTGCGGAGGAACCGTCCGCTATTATCACTGCACTGGCCTTGACATAATGTGATAATGGCATTAATCACAAGGTTGATCTTAGGCAGCAGATATGATTCAGGAAATGATTGATCCTCTGGCCTGTGTGGACGGTGGCCACCCAGTATCGATACGGCGGAGCTGGAATAGAGCCTTTTAGAGAAACTGGATAAAAAATATGTTTTGTTAGAAAGAGGCAATGAGTTTCACAGGGATCATGTGCTGATCAAAGAATACACTTTTTGCACCTACAGTTCAAGCTGGTTATGTACACACTTGATACAAAAACACAGAAAACATCGTTTTGTTTTGTTTTCTCCTGATTGGACTTCAAATTAAGCTATTTCAGTTTTAAGTCAAAATTATTTCTATTTGCTAAATAGAAGAATAAGGATGGAGGTACTCTCATAGAGAATGTGCCGTTACTTTTGTCAGTTTTAGACGTTCCCATTCTGTTCATCACTATTTAAGAGAAATGCATGTTCAAGTGCATGCGTTGGGGTCTTTCTGCTCAGAGTTTGCATCTTCTCCCATCGGGCGTTTCCTGCCTCTCGCCCAATGGCTGCTGGAGTTACAAACCAGAACGCAGCGATTCAAAGTGAACAAGAGTTCACAGGCAGAGAATGAGTGGCTGTGG